TGTATATAGCTTCAAGAATTTTTAGTTTTTGTATATTGTCTTCATGTTTAATTATTGTTGTGTTGGTATTGAAGTTATATATATATATATATATATATATATATATATATATATATATATATATGAAAACATAAAAAAATGTCTTTAGAAATAATTGTCAGGGCTTTTTCCATTTCATAATGTGTGACGCCATTTGTTTGTATTTGGATACGCATTAAGCAGGTATGAGAGAAAATCATAGAGAATTGTGTTTAAAAACAGTAAAATCGACTTTACTAACCGAACGCTCCTCTGTGGCTCAATCGGTTAAGGCACGTCAAGCTATATGACGGTTCTGTATAGCATACAGGTTCGATTCCTGTCGGAGGACTCATATTTTCTATGAAAATTTCCTAGACATTCAGGCCGGTAAATGTTGTTAATACTGTTTATTATAAACAGAGCATTAATTAAAACATTTTATATATAAAAAGAACGTATAAACATAAAAAAAATGTCTTAAAAATAATTGTCGGACTTTGTCCATTTCATAATATATATATATATATATAAGTAACAAAAATCTTGGTAATTCGTATGGATAATCCCAAAGTGAATGAAATCCTGAGTGCTTATTATTAATTCAGATCGAATAATTTAATTTAAAGAAAAACAGACCATTTTAAGGCTTCATTTGTAATAATTTATTTCACCAGAAAATTTTATTTTTCTCTGGATCTTCAGATTTCACTTTCAAAAGGTGAAACAAAAAATGTATTTAAAATTTACACTTTTGACGGGCAGTATTAAGCTTATATAAGTTGACATAGAGGGTGGTGAGGAATGGTATGAGAGACATGGTCGAGTTTAGAGAGGAAAATGATATGGGAAAAGGAAAAGGAGAAAAAAGGGGAAAAAGATAAAAGGGGGATGTAAAGAGATAAGAGATGCACGTAGGGTTTTTGGAGAAAAGAGAGTGTGGTAAAGCTTTAGCAATACTTATATATATATATATATATATAATTATTTATTTAAAAAAAAAATTATAACATATATATGTCATAATTTTTTTTTTAAATAAATAATTATATATATAATCACAGGGGGTGTTGAAACAAAATGGCTATTTTTGTAGTGATTTTATAACATATTTATGTTATAAATTATTTTTAAATAAATAATTATATCTGCTCTACTTTGTATTGTATTGAGCACTCTTTTAAGAATAGTAATTGTTGGTTATTGGAATTCATTCCGTATACACCAATCATATACTTGGGTATATATATATATATATATATATATATATATATATATATATATATATATATCTGTGTGTGTTAGCCTGCTTTTAGTGTGTTTTACTTAACACGTCAACAGATTCGAGATATGTAATATAGTAAAGAAAATTTTGGTAAAATATAAAGCGACACCCCATATTTTGATTCTGTTCAAGTCAGTTTATATCAAATAAAAACGTTAGGGTCGTTAAAGTTAGCTGTAAAAAAAAAAAAAATGGCGATCATTCTATATTTAAAACGATTAATGACTATGTTGACCACCTATTGTAAACTCTCTTTATGGTTTTTGTTCTTCTTTTTTTAGGAATCTAATGCCGAGAAATAAACACTTGAATATCTCTGTTGCGTTACGAATAAATTTGGAAGATTTTAACGCCACACACTATTTCCCCTCCTTCCTCACAATTCCTTCCCGCACTAACACTGGCCCTCGTCAATTCAGTCTTTATCTCCAGCACTGACTGACCTCTCGCTCCAACTGACCTCTCGTAAGATCTGACCACATAATGAGCCCAAATTATTCTGTAAAAATTATATTTATGAAGCGTAAGTTCAGTCAAGCAATTTTACTATATTGTTCTTTCAAGTCATAATGGCTGAAGCTAGCGGTGGCCGTTGCAGTCGGCGGATTATTTATTGGGGCTAAAAAAATAAAAATGGCGGAAGAAGTTAAAGGAAAGGAACAAGTGGACTAGAAGTGAATATGGCGACGGTGAATAATAAAATAAATAAGGAGACGAAAGAAAAAAGAGAGACCATAAAAATTGGAAGTATAGGGAATGATATGAAAACATGAAAGATGTCGGAAAAGATATAATGAATAAAAAAGGAAAAAAGACGGAAATGAAAGAAAGCAAAAGAACAAAAAGGAACATTCTTAAGAATAAAGTTTTTATGAACGCTAGAAATAATTGCTGAACAAATAGGACCAATAAGAAACGGTTAAATCTGTTGTATAAAATAGGAAGTTGAGAGGGAAAAAACAAAAGAAAGAAAGAGAAGAAAAGAAATAGAAACAAAAAAAAAGAGATGAAGATTAAGGAACAAATAGAAGAAGAAATAGGAACAAAAAGGAAAAGAAGAAGGTTAAGGAACGTATAGAAGAAGAAAAAGAAGAAGCAGAAGAAGAAGAAGAAGAAGAAGAAGAAGAAGAAGAAACAAAAACGAGGTTAAGGAACGCATAGAAAAAGAAGAAGTAGAATAAGAAATAGAACCAAAAAAGGAGAAGAAGAAGGTTATGGAACGTATAGAAGAAGAAGAAGAAGAAGAAGAAGAAGAAAAGAAGAAACAAAAAGGAGAAGAAGAAGAAGGTTAAGGAACGCATAGAAAGAGAAGAAGAAGTAGAAGAAGAAATAAAACAAAAAAGGAGAAGAAGAAGGTTATGGAACGTATAGAAGAAGAAGAAGAAGAAGAAGAAGAAGAAACAAAAGGAGAAGAAGAAGAAGGTTAAGGAACGCATAGAAAGAAGAAGAAGAAGTAGAAGAAGAAATAGAAAACAAAAAAAAGGAGAAGAAGAAGGTTATGGAACGTATAGAAGAAGAAGAAGAAGAAGAAGAAGAAGAAGAAGAAGAAGAAACAAAAAGGAGAAGAAGAAGAAGGTTAAGGAACGCATAGAAAGAGAAGAAGAAGTAGAAGAAGAAATAGAAACAAAAAAGGAGAAGAAGAACGTTATGGAACGTATAGAAGAAGAAGAAGAAGTAGAAGAAGAAGAAGAAGAAGAAGAAGAAGAAGAAGAAGAAGAAACAAAAAGGAGAAGAAGAAGAAGGTTAAGGAACGCATAGAAAGAGAAGAAGAAGTAGAAGAAGAAATAGAAACAAAAAAGGAGAAGAAGAAGGTTAGGGAACGTATAGAAGAAGAAGAAGAAGAAGAAGAAGAAGAAACAAAAAGGAGAAGAAGAAGAAGGTTAAGGAACGCATAGAAAGAGAAGAAGAAGTAGAAGAAGAAATAGAAACAAAAAAGGAGAAGAAGAAGGTTATGGAACGTATAGAAGAAGAAGAAGAAGAAGAAGAAGAAGAAGAAGAAGAAGAAGAAGAAGAAGAAGAAAAAAAGAAACAAAAAGGAGAAGAAGAAGAAGGTTAAGAAACGCATTGAAAGAGAAGAAGAAGAAAGAATAAATAGAAACAAAAAAGGAGAAGAAGAAGGTTATGGAACGTATAGAAGAAGAAGAAGAAGAAGAAGAAGAAGAAGAAGAAGAAGAAGAAGAAGAAGAAGAAAAGAAAAAAAAGAGAAGAAGAAGAAGGTTAAGGAACGCATAGAAAGAGAAGAAGAAGTAGAAGAAAAATAGAAACAAAAAAAGGAGAAGAAGAAGGTTATGGAACGTATAGAAGAAGAAGAAGAAGAAGAAGAAGAAGAAGAAGAAGAAGAAGAAGAAAAAAAAGGAGAAGAAGAAGAAGAAGTTAAGGAACGCATAGAAAGAGAAGAAGAAGTAGAAGAAGAAATAGAAACAAAAAAGGAGAAGAAGAAGAAGAAACAAAAAGGAGAAGAAGAAGAAGGTTAAGGAACGCATAGAAAGAGAAGAAGAAGTAGAAGAAGAAATAGAAACAAAAAAGGAGAAGAAGAAGGTTATGGAACGTATAGAAGAAGAAGAAGAAGAAGAAGAAGAAGAAGAAGAAGAAGAAGAAGAAGAAGAAGAAACAAAAAGGAGAAGAAGAAGAAGGTTAAGGAACGCATAGAAAGAGAAGAAGAAGTAGAAGAAGAAATAGAAACAAAAAAGGAGAAGAAGAAGAAGAAACAAAAAGGAGAAGAAGAAGAAGGTTAAGGAACGCATAGAAAGAGAAGAAGAAGTAGAAGAAGAAATAGAAACAAAAAAGGAGAAGAAGAAGGTTATGGAACGTATAGAAGAAGAAGAAGAAGAAGAAGAAGAAGAAGAAGAAGAAGAAGAAGAAGAAGAAAAACAAAAAGGAAAAGAAGAAGGAGGTTAAGGAACGCATAGAAAAAAGAAGTAGAAAAGAAATAGAAGCAAAAAGGAGAAGAAGAAGGTTAAGGAACGCATAGAAAGAGAAGAAGTAGAAGAAGAAATAGAACCAAAAAAGGAGAAGAAGAAGGTTATGGAACGTAAAGAAGAAGAAGAAGAAGAAGAAGAAGAAGAAGAAGAAGAAGAAGAAGAAGATCCTCAACAATAACGAGGATGAGAGGAGGAGGATGGAAATGAAAAGAAAGAAGAGAGATGAGAAGAAGAAGAAGAAGAAGAAGAAGAAGAAGAAGAAGAAGAAGAAGAAGATCCTCAACAATAACGAGGATGAGAAGAGGAGGATGGAAATGAAAAGAAAGAAGAGAGATGAGAAGAAGAAGAAGAAGAAGAAGAAGTAGAAGAACAAATACGTAGAAGAAGAGAAGTAGAAAAAAACTCATAGAACAAAAAAGAGAAGAAAGAATAAAAAGCCATAGAAAAGAATAAAACAATGCGGGAACAGGAAAGAAAAAGAAAGAGGAGGAGAAAGAGGAGAGGAGGAGGAAAAAGAAAAAATGCATAAAAAGAAGAAGGGGGAAGGAGAAATGCGTAGAAGAAGAAGCAGAAATAAGGCAAAGAATAAGAGAAGACGCCAAAAGAAAGGCATAGAAAAAGATGGAAAACGCAAGAGAAGATCAAGTAGAAGAAGAGGGTTAGGAGGAGTGAGGGAGGGGAGGAACAGGGGTAGGTTTGAAATTATTGAAAAAAGATAAAAGATATAGTCGAATAATAAAATTTCTGAAAAAATAAAAGTGATTATGATGTAAAACTTATTGGAAAATGAACTGCATGAAGAAGAAGAGGAAGAAACAAAAAGAAGAAAAAGAAGAGGAAGAAGAAGAAACAAGAAGAAGAAGAAGAAACAAAAAGACGACGAAGAAGAAGAAACAATAAAGGAGAAGAAGAAGAAGAAGAAGAAACACAAAGAAGAAGAAGAAGAAGAAACAAAAAGGAGAAGAAGAAACAAGAAGAAGAAGAAGAAGAAGAAGAAGAAGAAGAAGAAACAAAAAGACGAAGAAGAAGAAGAAACAAAAAGGAGAAGAAGAAGAAGAAGAAGAAGAAGAAGAAACAAAAAGACGAAGAAGAAGAAGAAACAAAAAGGAGGAGAAGAAGAAGAAGAAGAAGAAGAAGAAACAAAAAGACGAAGAAGAAGAAGAAACAAAAAGGAGAAGAAGAAGAAGAAGAAGAAGAAGAAGAAACAAAAAGGAGAAGAAGAAGAAGAAACAAAAAAGAAAAGAAGAAGAAGAAACAAAAAAGAAAAGAAGAAGAAGAAACAAAAAGGAGAAGAAGAAACAAAAAGGAGAAGAAGAAGAAGAAGAAGAAGAAGAAGAAGAAGAAGAAGGAGAAGAAGAAGAAACAAAAAGGAGAAGAAGAAGAAGAAGAAGAAGGGGAAGAAGAAGAAGAAACAAAAAGGAGGAGGGGGAGAAGAAGAAGAAGTACAAGAAGAAGAAAAAAAGAGAAGAAGAAAAAACAAAAAGGAGAAGAAGAAACAAAAAGGAGAAGAAGATACAAAAGGGAGAAGAAGAAGAAGAAGAAACAAAAAGGAGAAGAAGAAGAAGAAACAGAAAGAAGAAAAAGAAGAAGGAACAAAAAGGAGAAGAAGATACAAAAGGGAGAAGAAGAAGAAGATGAAGAAGAAACAAAAAAGAGAAGAAGAAGAAACAAAAAGGAGAAGAAGAAACAAAAAGGAGAAGAAGAAGAATAAGATACAAAAGGGAGAAGAAGGAGAAACAAAAAAGAAGCAGAAGAAGAAGAAAAAAAAGAAGAAAATTAGCTGAAACAAAAGAGTTGAAGAACAAAAAGAAAGGTGGGTGCGCAGAACTGGAACTAAAATTCAACAGAGAATAAAAGTGAAAAATACAAAGAAAAACGTCAAACAATAAATAAGGAAGAAAGGAAAGAGAAATCTTAAAAGAAAAGAGTAGGATAAAAATTGGACAAATTGAAGAGAGACGTGGCGGTGAGAAGAAATATACGATGAAAATAATAGCAAGGGAAAGAGAGAAAAACAAAACGAGAGTGAGAGTTGAATGTGTGACATATATAACTGGCGATGAGAAAAGATATAAGAAATAAGGAAGTGAGAAAAAGAAGAAAAATGAGGAAGAAGAAGCAAATGAATTAAAAAAAAACTTGGAAGAAGAGAAAGAAAATTCACAAGGAGGAAAAAACTGACACAAACAAAAGTTCATTTGTATAAGAAAGAAAAGCAAAAGAAAAAAGAATTTGTATAAAAAATGAAGAAAAATGAATTTGTATTAGGAAGGAAGGAAAAAGAAAAATGAATTTGTATTAGGAAGGAAAGAAAAAGAAAAATGAATTTGTATAAGAAAGGAAGGAAAAAGAAAAGTAAATTTGTATTAGAAAGGAAGAAAAAATGAATTTGTATAAGAAAGGAAGGAAAAAGAAAAATGAATTTCTATAAAGAATGAAGAAGAAAGAAATATAAATTTGTATTAGAAAGGAAGGAAAAAGAAAAATGAATTTGTATAAGAAAGGAAGGAAAAAAGAATTTGTATAAAAAATGAAGAAAAATTTGTATTAGAAAGGAAGGAAAAATAAAAAAATAAATTTGAATTAGGAAGGAAAAAGAAAAATGAATTTGTATAAGAAAGGAAGGAAAAAGAAAAGTAAATTTGTATTAGAAAGGAAGAAAAATGAATTTGTATAAGAAAGGAAGGAAAAAGAAAAATGAATTTCTATAAAGAATGAAGAAGAAAGAAATATAAATTTGTATTAGAAAGGAGGGAAAAAGAAAAATGAATTTGTATAAGAAAGGAAGAAAATGGGAAATGAATTTGTATAAAAAAGGAAGAAAAAGGAAAAAAAAAACAGAAAATAAAAAAGAAAGAAGGAATGAAAGAAAGGCCATAAGAAGAACAAAATCATATAAGTCATTAACAAAGACGAAATCGCGTAGAAGAAGAAAAAAAAGAAGATAACAGAAAGATTAACAACAACAACAAAAAAAAAACAGAAGAAAAAAATATGAAAGAATGGTGAGAAAATGAAGAAGGAAAGGCGAAAACTAAAAAGAAGGAAAAAATAATATTGGTTGATAGATTTTTTTTACGGCTTATCAATCTCTTACAGGATACTTAAAACAGTATATATATATATATATATATATATATATATATATATATATATATATATATATATATATATATATAATTTTTTTTTTTCAGATAATAATGCTTAACTGATACAAATCCCGCTAATTAACCCGTAGCTGATGGGAGACGAGGTGGATTCCTGACTTTTACCAAGAAGTGAAAGTGAATATATACGAACTCGACTAGTATTAGAACATGTCTCTGCGATTTACAAGTTCTTATTCGTTACACCACCCGTACATCCAAGTTTATGGCGCCTGGTATTCCCATGATGACAGCCATCTAGGTAATGACCAAGCCCGGTGTTGCTTAACTTCGGTGCTCGTATCATGGTGATGATAAAGAAGAAGAAGAAGAAGTAGAAGAAGAAGAAGAAGAAGAAGAAGAAGAAGAAGAAGAAGAAGAAGCGACCAGTAGCAAAAGGAGAAAAAGAAGTAAACGCGACGAAAACAGACAATGACATGATTAGTAGAAGAAGAAGAAGAAGAAGAAGAAGAAGAAGAAGAAGAAGAAGAAGAAGGCAAGACTAGAAGGTGAAGAAGAAGTTGTCTGAAGAAGAAAAGGCACAGCTAGAAGAAGAAGAAGAAGAAGAAGCGACCAGTAGCAAAAGGAGAAAAAGAAGTAAACGCGACTAATAACAGACAATGACATGATTAGAAGAAGAAGAAGAAAAAGAAGAAGAAGAAGAAGAAAAGAAGAAGGCAGGACTAGAAGGTGAAGAAGAAGTTGTCTGAAGAAGAAGAAGAAGAAGAAAATAAAAGAGGAAGATGAAAAAGAAGAAGTGGCCAGGAGAAGGAGAAAATGTAGAAGACCCGACTAAAAAAAGAAAAAGAACAGAACAAAAAGAACAGAAGATATATCGATGAAGAAGAAGAAGAAGAAACAGACTCGTTTAGAACAAGAAGAAAAAGAGAAGACATGCCTAGAAGAGGAGGATGAAGAAGAAGATATGGCGAGAAAAAGAAGCTGCCAGAAGACGAAGACAGGACTAGAAGAAAAAGAAGAAGAAGAAGAAGAAGAGGAGGAGATGGAGGAAGTTCGTTTAGAAGAAAATAACTAGAAGAGGATGTTGCCTAGAAGATGAGGAGGAAAAACAAGAAGAAGAAGGCTCGTTTAGAAGAAGAAAAAAAGCTAGAAGAGTACATGTCTAGAAGAAAAGGAGAGAGAAGAAGAAGAAGAAGAAGAAGAAGAAGAAGAAGAAGAACAACAAAAGAACAACAACAACAACAACAGTAACAAGAAGAAGAAGACTGGTTTAGAATAAAAAAAAAACTAGAAGAGAACATACTTAGAAGGAGAAGGAAGAAAATGAAGAAGAAGAAGAAGAAGAAGAAGAAGAAAATGAAGATGAAGAAGAAGAAGAAATGGAAGAAGGCTCATTTAGAAGAAAATAAAACTACTAGAAGTACACAAGACAAAAGAAGAGGAGGAAGGAGAAGAAAAAGATGAAGAGAAAGAAGCTCGTTTAGAAGGAACAAAACTAGAAGGGGACATGTCTAGAAGAAGATCAGGTAGGAGAAGGAAAAGAAGAAGAAGAAGAAGAAGAAGAGAAAGAAAAAGAAGAAGAAGAAGAAGAAAAGAAAGAAGTAACAGGCTCGTTTAGAAGGAAAAAAAACTAGAATAAGAGGGCATGTTTAGAAGAAGAGGAGAAGAAGAAGTAGAAGAGTCGATAAGAAAAAAACTAGAAGACATGCCTAGAAGAAGAAGAAGAAGAAGAAGAATAGGAAGAGGAAGAAGTCTCCTTTAGAAGAAGAAAAAAAAATTAGAAAAGGGGGACATGCCCCCCCCCCAAAAAAAAAGAAGAAGAAGAAGAAGAATATCTTCGTCAAGAACTCGGAAGAAATGACGCAGGTTCGCACATGAATGACGATTTGAAAACAGGTGAAATGTTTTTTTTTTACTCTTTTTCATTCAAAATGTCCTCAGTTCATTCAAATTTTACTTTTGATTTCATTCTCTCTGGAAACAGTAAAATCATTCCCCGGAGATTTATGGGACTCCATTTTGGGTTTGATTCGATCATATTGCCGCGAAACGAGATTTGATTTTCTTTTTCCAGGCCAGTTCTTGGTGATTCCATGGAAAATTCGATCACCTCCACTAATTTAAGAAAGGACAGGGATTTTTTTTGGGAGGTTATGGGGAATAAGCAAAAATCCCGAGGAAAAAATGACATTTCGCGAAGTATCCAGATTTCTACAATTTTTTTTTTTTTTTAAACTTTTGTGGTTATGCAAGGAAAGAAATAATTTGAAGTCACGGAAATATTTATTTTCGAGCAACCTTTCCTCTTTCTAAAGATAAAAAAAAAAACAAAAAAAAAACATCTGAAATTATTTCCAAAATATTACGCTAAGGAAGTTTATATTGCATGCGTTCTTGCACTAAGTGATTCGTGTGCATCATTCGAAAATAGAGAGCTTCCAGTTTCTTTAGTTCTTTTACAAGATGGCGGTATGGGGGGTGTTAAAGAATGGTCTTGTAAAGATATTCAAATCTTCCTCAAAGAAAACGCAAAGGAAAAGAATATAAGATTTAAATCCATTTTTCTTTCATATTCATAAAGCTGTTGAGATCTTACAATATTTTAAAAAAATATTTTTTGAAGCCAGGAAACATACTCGACACACGCATACTTCTTAATACTATCACTTGCTCCTTCAGCTGCGACTATTACGCCAGCTATCACGCGGACTAACTTGGTCAGACTACTTGATACTGCAACGGGAAAACTCCCGCTGGTATGCTCTAGATTTATAAGCGTCATATCAGACAAAGAATGGAGTATTGCTGCCCTAATGCTGGACAATCTTCTAAAAGATGAGGAAGAGATTTAAAGCCACAGAATTGGATTTCTACAGAAGGATGCTGAGGATACCATGGAATGAAAATTTTAGAAACGACGAGATTTTAGAGAAAATGGAAACCAAAAGGAAACTTATACTTAAAACCAGGAAGAGACAGTTGAAATTTCATAATGAGGCACATAATGAGGAATGTGGGCTTGGAAAACATGATAGTCATGGGATAGATTGAGGGCAAGACAGACAAAGGAAAACAGCGCGTAACATATTTAGTGAGTTCGGATAAATGGATGGCGGAACTGTTTAGCTGAAATAACGGAAATGCATAATTGATTAAGAGCTACAAAGATTAGGAAAATGTGGAGAGCCATAATCGTCTACTTTCTGAGGGGACACTGCACATAGAGAAGAAGGGAATCAGGGCTCGTAGCTACCAAAATCCTCACTGAACACCCTCGACAGAGTTAGAAAAACGAGTTAGAAAAACGTTGAAACTTATCCCAGGAAAAATAACCTCGACAGTCTTTCACATCTTTATCGCAATTAATATAGCAGACGTTCGAACGTTTATCTTCTTTAATGGCACCAGCTCGATCATTCAGCTATACCGTTTTCACGATGTTGAAATACAGTGGCTTGCAAAAGTCTACACTCCCTTTGAAAATTTATATATTTTTTGTATAATTTAACAGGGAACAACACATTTTTTTCAATTCCAATCATTGTTAAATAATAAGCAGATCCCTTACAATTTTCCTTTGATATAAAAATCATATTTTAAAAATTTCATACTGATTCTTAAAATCATATAACTTAGAAAAATGTCTTTGCAAAAGTTTACAAGTGTTATCCCGTAGTTTCTCGTTGATGTATACAATTCAAAACAATCAAAAGTGACATGTATTTTCTACCATAACAAACAAACTTGTCCAGTCTATTATTTTGCTATATAAGTTGATTTAACTGCCTACAAAATCATCCACCATATGGTTTCTTGGTATGTTGGACTCTGACTGTAAACACAAGGTGTCCGACTCGGGAGAGAAAATGGGCAAGCCTCTGTCTCAGGAACTTAAAAACCTTATTATTCAAAAGTAAAATGAAAATAGTGGCTATAAAACGACTGCAAAAACTTTAGAATTGTCACTAAGCACTGTTAAAATTGTAGCTAAGAAGTGGTTAGTGCATAAAACCACTGCTAACCTACCAAGATCTGGGAGACCAAGCAAACTTACCAAAAGAGCAAAATCAAAACTAGTCCGGGAGGTAACC